GGCTTTTTTAGTATCAGTGGGACATAAATATTTACGAGGAACTTGATGTGTGACTCAAGGGCTCTGAGTGTGATATGCCACCTTTCAGAAAAAAAACCCCAAGTTTGTATCTTTTGAATTGCAGGCGCATTTAAAGCGATTGAAGATGGTCTACTGCCCACAGTCCAGCTGCACCATTCCTAGAATCTTTGTGGCAAGGGAGGTGTCCAGGATGGGAGGTCTCCATGATCCCAAGAATGCTACAATTGCTTTAGGCCCAATTCCCCTACGTGGCAGATTGCTGGGCCGCAGTCACGAGAAATAGACACGTGTCCAAAGCTGGGAATGGGCGACAGGGGTGGATCACTGGATGATTACCTGTTCTGTTCATTACCTCTCTGGCACTTGGCATTGGCTACTGTCGGAAGACAGGATACTGAGCTAGATGGACCTTTGGTCTGATCCACTATGGCTGTTCTAATATCACTTCTTCTAGGCCACAATACAATAAATGTAGCCAGTGGGGGAAAACTGGATAAAAGAAAACTGAGGGCAGCACCTGGAAAGCAGCAGTGCGGCTTGTAACTGGAAAGAAGCGCTGCACAGGAGGTAGCCCTGCTCACTAGATCTGATTAGAGATTTAGGAAGAGTGCGTTTCCGGGGTTAGAGCAAGGGATTGGGTGTCAGGACGCCTGTCTTTTCTCAGCTCTGCCACTGCCTTTGCATGCAACTGTGGATACATCTGTGTCCCTCATCTGTAACGTGGGAACAGTAATGCATACATGGTGTAGGTAGTATAAGAATCTGAAAGGGCTGGCTAAGAATAGACTGCCTTCACTACAGGCCTGCTGCAAGTCTAAATTCACTCATATTTATGTGCTTTGAGATTCTCAGTTTAAAAATACTCTAGAAGTGGGCATATGAATCTTTCTTTGATTTTAACTTTGTAGTCCTTTCTATCTTTGTGTTTTTCTTCTTACTCAAGTGAAACAGTGAGAAACCTTTTTAAAAAGTTGCTCTCAGGGGCTGATCTCGGTTATACAATTGTAACGCCATAGACATTATTGGAGATGCTCCAGATTTGCACTGTTGCAACTGAGATCAAGATCTAGCCCCAGGATTTCGTAAGAACTGGTAATCAGCTGCTCTTGCTGCAGAGGAAAGTGCCAGAGCTCCCTATCCAAATTCCATTGACTCGGCTCTGTGAATGAACCCTAAGGAACTGGTATATGCTCACAGTACAGATAGCCTGGGGCCAGCAGTCTAATCCATTAGTCATTAACTATTGCTCTCAATAATGGCTAATGTTAAGGGAGCATTAATTACTTGATAATTAAAGCATTAAAATAACAGTGTACAGTTTGTAATTTTACCAAATGCCCTTTTTTAAAAACAATTGCTGCTGTCAAGCTGGTCACATTCACCAGTTACATGAACAGAATTAGTCACCTCTGGGTAGAAAAAGGGTCTTCTTTGGAATGGACTTTTTGTGTCTGCTCTAAGCATTGAGGAGCATGAGTTGGAAGAAGGCATTAATGGCTGCAGTAAAGCTTCCCGGCATTGAGTAGCTAATGATGACAGTGGCAACTTTCCTGAGTTTTCAAAAATTATTAGTGGGCAAGTTCACAAAATTCAGCAAAACACGATGAGCGTTTTCTAAATCAGACTGTTTCACTTCCCTCACTTTTGCCTTAGGTGAAAATAGAAGTTGTGCTGTATTGCACCTTGAAAGAGTATGAGGAAAAATGAATTTTTGTGTGCGTCACAAAACATTAGCATCCCTTGGTCTTTCACTCTTTTATCCAAAGCAAGACCTGTTCCAGACAAAGTCAGTCTAATGTGGTTTTATAAACGCAGTGGATAATGCTATTTCTAGACATTCTTGAGTTTGTAGGCTCATTCAACATAACTCAAAATGTTTGAGATAACAAAGATACAATAGAAAAATGTTTTTTCCCCCTCTACTGCCTTTTAAACCAATGTGTACCGCAAAGCAATGAGTAAGACACAGCAGTGCAGTTGCCTGATACAGACACAGATAGAGACCATTTTTTGCTGAGCCATAGCCTATATGCATCCTCAGAGGTTAGAACCTGTTATGTCATGAGTAAGGCTAAGATTTTGTCATGGGTATTTTAAGTAAAAGTCACGGACAGATCACGGGCAATAAAGAAAAATCCACAGATGCCCGTGACCTGTCCCTAACTTTTACTCAAAATATCCATGACAAAATGGGGAGCTGTGGAGGTCTCTGAAAGTCATGGATTCTGTGACTTCAGCAACCTCCATGACAAAATCGTAACCTTAGTCATGAGTAGGGATACTGAGGGGCTATTCCCTCACCTTTTTTTGAAAGTTGCCACAGGCTCTTCACTTTGCCCATGTAAAGTCACCAGAAGTGGTCAGATATAGACCTCTCTTCTGTACAGAAGGATTTTGATTATTTATCTGCCTTGTAGAGTCCTTTTGCTGCAAAAGAAAAAAAAGGAAGTAGGATGATAACTCAGGAAGTAAACCCAAGCCAAGGGTCTGACCCTGCAAATCTTTACAAGCACAAGTAGATTTTACTTGGGTGAGTAGCCAAATTCAGTGGAGACAACTGATCTGTTTTCAGGCAAACGAAAAAGAAGATTGAAGTGCGATAAGGGAACATTCTTGACTCAAATCAGCCTCCGAGAGAGGCTTTGACTTCACCACAAGTTTAATTTTATATTTAGCAAACAAAATTTTGCTCTTACAATGGATTTATAACAAATAACTGACTATCTAAGACTCTCATTTGTCCGCCCTACAGGAGAATAGGGGCTAAAAACCCAGAACCAAATGCTGAATGCCTTAGTCACACCTTAGCAGAGTTCACTTAGGTAAAATATTAATTGAAGTCAATGGGATTTTGCCTTAGTAACAACTATAAGATTTAGTGGTTCCCTTGAATTTATTAAGAATTAGAGTATTCCAGCAGAGCCACTTCACAAAAGGGATCATGAAAAAAATGACTAAAGAAGGGACCTCAGGGTCAGGAGAATCAGTGACACGAACAGGGTAGGAAGGTAAGTTTGCTGATGGTGAGAAGGTAAAGCTGTAAGCAGAAACAAGACAATGAGAACCCGATAAAGCTACAGCTGCATTTCATTGTGTCTCCTTTTACAATGTGACTACCATCTAGCACTTCTGTATTTGGTAGTGCCTTTTCTTCAGAGGATCTCAACAGGTTTCTTATGCACACATGAGGAATATCAGCACCCCTCTGCAAGTAAATATTACAGCCATTTTACAGATAGGAAAACTGAAGCACAAAGTGGTCGTAACTTTCTCATGGTCACATTGGAAGCCACTGGTAGCTCACCCAAGAAGCTTGACTCCCAATTCTGGATTATAATTACTAGACCACATCCCATGCAATGTTACATTCTTAGGTTGAGAATTCAGCCAATAGGCTGCATTGGCAATATTCAGATATTAATGTAGCAGCATATTGGATATTTCAGTGGGACCACCACCATATGCATTGAGAATGATGAACTTTTACTGCCTGGAGAAGGAAATGCAGCAAGTCCACAGGGACAGAAAATTTCTAATGCATTTTGTGGCGCTCTGAGTAAGCAATTCATCATTGCCATCCTGAGCAATCTGTCATCCTTGGAAACAAGGAAATACTTCAGCTTCTGAATCAATGTCCCTTCATGGTGTTGAATGAGTAGAAAATAAATAATCATAATGAAATTGTGATGTGCTGAACAGAAAGTGTCCCAGGATTTATGATAAAATCGACTATTTGCCTGTCTTAGGGTTTTCTATAGCATCCGGGACCTTCATATCTACACACTTACGTGCTAAAATACACATCCTAATATTTGGAATCCTTATAACATGTATAATCATCATAGCATGTTTTAGGAATTACACTCTGAAGATTTTCACAACAGAATATAAGTGACTAACATCAGACAAAGACTGAAATTCACAGTACCCGGAGGGCAGGCTCCCAGATTATCTGGTCTCATGTTTAACCTAAAATGTGTCACACTACAATATGCCATTTTTGCCAGGTCTCAGATATTTGGGATTCTTACAGTTCACAGGTCTCTCGTTTTCTGTTTGTTGTATTTGAGCCGCCTTACTTGCAAAGGAAATAGAATCACAGTTGAATGCCATTAAAATGTCCCGCAAGAAGTTCTTTTAATCCAAAAATACTTGCTGTGTTGCAACTGATTGCACACTATAAAGGTTTGACAGAAGTAGATATTGCACCAGTGCATATATTTTAGGGTTAAAGAAAGGTAGATGTTCATTGTTTCTCCATACTCTAAATGATAACACAGACTCATAATTTTATGAGCATATTTGCTGGGCAGAGTAAAAATGTTGTGGAGAAAAGGCCCTTCTCTGCCGTGGTATAAATGGGATAGGTGATGGGAGAGGGTGCAATAAACTTTCTATTTTCATGACTTAGGGATAATAAAGTATAAACCATTCATTGACTGTTTCCACCACCTCCCATCTCTGTCTATTGTGCAAACAGGATTGATTTTTAGAGCCCACCAAGGGAATTAGCTACACAACTCCCACTGTAATTAGCAGGAGCTGTGTAACTAAACGCCCTACTTGGCTTTAAAGTCTTGGCCCTTATACAAATCTACTACAACTTTCGACACTAATGATCCAAAATGCTTTAATAATCTGATAATGGTCTGCAGTGTGTTTATTACTGTAGAATACAGTAGCACTTTTTAAATAAAGAAGTATTTTGTACATTTCCCTGCAGACAAGAAACAATAAAAATCTTGGGCCCAATCCTGCAGTCCTGACTTCTGTAAAACAAACAAAAAACAAACCAAAAAAACCCATTGAAATACCCAGTGTGTCTGTCTGTCTGTCTATCTAGGTTTATATATGAATAAGGCTCCCTGAATTTATTCAGACTGGAAATCATGCTATAAATTATTCTGCTTCTCCACTCCCCACAGGTAGTTTACAAGGGATTTTATATTTTAGGGAGACAAATAATAAACATTACTCACACTCACTGTTGGTTCTGCAGACTATTTGGGTGACTTCTTTTCTCTGTTAGTCTGGTCACTTTAACTCTGCTTCCATCTCAGAAACCGGACCTCTGAGGATCCTGTGTGTGTGTGTGTGTGTGTGTGTGTGTGTGTGTGTGTCCTGCCTCCCTCTGTGCAGTCAACAGGACACTGAATTCTGTAAGAATTGAAAGTGATTTAAATACTCCTCTCAACTCTAGCACTGAACTTCTACCTGTTGAGCCTTCTTAAAGAAATATCCTCCAAAAATGCAGGTAGGTAGGAATATCCCATGTGATCATTTGTTCAAGCCTCATTTTAGTTTTGCTGACGTGTTGTTTGTTTATTTACATTGTCGTTTACTTTTTGATTAAATGGTGCAATAGTTCTATGGTGGTAATGCAGTTATTATTGGACTACGTGATTACTCTGGGTGTGGGAGAATGCATGTTTGTGACCAGCCCTCTCTTGACACCCATGATCAGGGGAAGGAATCTTGGGGCAGTTTTTGAGCCAGACTTAAAGGAAATTCCTAGGCCCACCCTCTTGCTGGCTGCTTGCTGGATAGGATCCCAAAGCGTGGATTTAACTGGGCCACCCACACAACAATGTCCAGCCGTCTTCTTTCCCCCATAGGTTTCCACCGTGCAGGCTTTTCTGAACCAGCTGCAGGAAAATGGCTTGCCTTCTTTCATCTGCCACTGGAGTTCCCAAATGGGGGCCCATGGAGCACATGCTGGTGGTCTGCAGAGAGTTGGCTGACCACATGGTGTGTGTGGTTCCTCTTCCTCATTTCAAGCTACTAAACTGGATTAAAATAATCTTAAAAACACATTAAGAACATAAGAATGGCCATAGCTGATCAGACTAATGGTCCATCTAACCCAGTATCTTGTGTTCTGACAGTGGCCAATGCCTTCAGAGGGAATGAACAGAACATGTAACCATCAAGTGATCCATTCCCTATCACCCAATTCCCAGTTTCTGACAATCAGAAGCTTGGGATACTCCCAGCATGGGGTTGCATCCCTGACCATCTTGGCTAATAGCCATTGATGAACCTATATTTCCATCCCCCTTCCATATTCAAAACCTGAGCATCTGAACTTTCCAAGATCTAACCAGTGCCCTTACACTCAGAGGTCACTGGGGGACACTGCTATTTACTTCTCTCCATTCTGAAAACTGGCCATTTATTACTACCCTGTGTTCTGTCTTTTAACCCTTTACTGATCCATGAAAGGACCTTCCCTCTTACCCCATGAGTGCTTACTTTTCTTAAGAGACTTTGGTGAGGGACCTTGTCAAAGGCTTTCTGAAAGTCCAAGTACACTATTTCAAATGGATCACCCTTGTCCACATATTTATTGTTCCCCTCGGAGTTCTAACAGATTGGTGAGACGTGATTTCCCTTTACAAAAGCCATGTTGACTCTTTCCCAACAAATTGTGTTCTGTGTCTGAAAATTCTGTCCTTTACTATAGTTTCAACCAATTTGCCTGGTACAGAAATTAGGCTTACCAGTCTACAGTTGCCTTTGGAGCCTTTTTAAAAAGTACTTAAGTACTTTCCTAATGTTACAGTTACATGTAAGCAACTACTGAAGTTCCCAGGGGCCTGTTAATTGATTAGCCATGGGAAGGCAAGAGGATTCCTCATCATGAATGGGATAGGATGTTTCCATGGATCAGTCTCTCCATAGCGGGCCACGCTACGAAAAAGTCTGAGATTCCCTGTTCTAAAGATCAGGTCTTAAAAGGCTCAATCAAAATCCTAGGTGCAGAGAGTCCCAGAGACCTCTATGGGAGCTGGATCAGATCAACGATGCGGTGCTCTTTTATGCCAATTCTAGCGAAGCAGCCAGTCCCCTCCTCCTGATGGACCTTGATATTTGCAGTGTCACACATCTTCACAATACAGGCCCATCTGGGGATAGTCCTGAAGCGATGCGTTGCTAGCTGTTCAATCACATACATTTCCCGCTTTGCATCAAAATATCTTGCACCCTCACACCTCAGCCCTCGTGTGCTGTGTGGAAGAGCATAGAGCTGAGATCTTCATGACTCTGGTGGCCTGGTGCTGTCATTCAGCAATGAGTGGAGCTGCTGGCAGAGCAGCCTCAAAGAACCACAAGATGAGATGGAAACAGAGGAGAGAGGGGAAAGAAGAGAAGGGGGAAATTAACCTGTGCCAGCAGGTAATTTTTTTCATGAATCAAGTTACTTGCAGTTTGTATGAAGTGCACTTGATGGAGCTCATACTGCTTAGTCACATTTGGTCATTTCCAGTACATTATTGCCCCACTGCTCAGTGCTGAGAAAATTAGATCTAAATTTGCTCCGGATCAAGTTTTTCAACTCTTCAGAAAACAATGTCTTTCAGTCTTTTCCAAGGAGACCTGTGTAGATGGCCCTTCCAAATCAGCAAGGCTCTGCAGGGGTGCAAGGCTACCCACCCATATTGCCCTGATGGGGCCGTACCATGTAGGGAGGCAGAGACTGTCCTTGCTTGCATTGTACACAGTGCTGAGCACCTTGTGAGCTCTTAACAAATGAAAAGAAATAAACAAAAATTCTCCTGCCATCTTAACTATGGAGTCGCTACTGCTCCTCCAGGAGAGGGAGGGATTAAGCAAAGATCTGTTGTTAAGTAAGGTGCTATTGGAAACCCAATCACATGGCAAACTAAAATGATAAAATATCCCTTTGTGAGGGATCAATCATTAATTTGCTCTAGGCATGGACTACTTGTTTTTTCAACCATGATTTCATTTAAGGTGAAATGCGACCCTAAACTATCACTGTTTATTTCTAGAAAGCTATAAGCAGAAAGTTGCCTAGATGTAGCAGAGGAATTGTCAGCACACAATGGGAGTGCTGTTTAATTTTTAAACAATATCTAGGCCATCTTGTTTGGTTTCAGTCTTACAAAAATCTAGGCTCATTATTTTCTCTGTGGCCATGAACTAGACTGCCAGATTTTTACAGGCTGAGGTCTACAGTGCCACTTTAGTTTCAGTTTTGCAGGCCAAGCTTTCCTATGGTGTAAAGGTTAATGTACAAGAGACATAAACAACTGGCTTCTTATTTTTATCCATAAAGCGTAAGGAAATTTCAGGTTTCCAAGGAGCTATCCACAAGAGGCACAAACTGTGGACAAAACCTCCTGCAAAGTGCCAAGCTTAAGAGCATTTGCCCATTCAGAAGACTGGACTAGGTGACCTCTCGAGGTCCCTTCCAGTCCTACGATTCTATAATTTATAGGTAGCCCAAAACAGACTCACCTTAGTAATGTAGATTATATCCATGCTGCCCTACCAATGTGTCTCAGCTATGAGCCGGAGGGCACCACGTGTAGGGAAGAATTTCTAATCTTTCAAAACATCGTAATCCATTTGTCATGTTCTTTGTGACAGTTAAGGCCTATCCATGTTTCCACTAAAATACCTGATTTTTAGGTGGTTTTGTCTTTTACGTAAGAATTTGCTGTGGTTGCATCTTGATGACAAGAGGGGGAGAAATTCCTTTCAATGCTATTTGAAAATTTGGGGCTCTTTAAGATAACAATATAGCTCAGCCTGGCTGTTACAGGCTTGAGGCAGGAATCACTGAATGGGATTCTCTGGCCTTTGTTATGCAGGAGGTCAGGTGGGGCAGTCACCATGGTCCTTTCTGGCCCCCCAAAAATCAATGACTATATTAATTCCGTGTGGCTGTGAAATGATGCGGAGGTATTAACGGAGGGCAAAAGACACTGGAATACTTTGCTCCCTGGGCTCTGATTGAAGACCTAACCAGGGATGGCAGCTGTAAATGCTGCAGACCACTTTGGTGACAGTTGGGGAGCAGATTGCTTTTGTTCTCCACTTATAATTTGTTGTTGTAGGATCTTAGCTTCAGGCATTTTTGTCCTGGCAGCAGACATTAGGGTCCACTGTCGGAGTCAAGAGTTTTGCAGGGGGTGTTAGGTCTCCCAACCCCACAGAGGAAGGGAAAGAATGAAGTGTCTTTTACTGTGGATGGGGCATCCACCCACCTTCCACGCAATAGGCCTGCATCTGCAAGGAACAGTCAAGCTCTTGTTAAGTGGTTCAATATGGCCTATGCAATAGCTTACACAGGATTAGCTGCTATCCAGCCCCAGGCATAGAAAGGTAAAATGTTCAGGATTTGAGTATCAAAACAGGACCAAATTGGTGACCATTCACAGCTGCCATCCCATCCCCAAGTCACTGTTGCCAGGACAGAGGTTGCCTTTAGGTTTATTCTGTTCTGTCCTTGGGCAAAAATTATTAATGTTGCAGCTACTTGGCCACAATTTACTTGTTTACATCTGCCCTCATTAGCACCTTCCATTAGCCATGTCCAATCAATCTCTTTTTTTGAATTTCTACATGCCGCTGCCCTGTGCTGTCTTTCCTTCTTGTTGTTTGCACTGAGGAATAGAGTTTTTAAGAGCATCTGTGACTGAATAGTTTGTAACTGGTACCAGTTTGGCATTTGAAGAGTGTGCATAATGAATGCAATGTACACAGCGGGGGATATGAAAGGATTGTTGCTGGAAAACCAACCTAGAAACTGGCCCGGTGACTAAATGAGCTGGAATTACATGAGCATATTTACATGGCTTTAACTGACAAGGAAGTGTCTTCTTGCCAAGCTACAGGCTTCCAATACATTCTGGTTTCTCAGACAACAAACCTTAGCTGTTACTTCTCAGTCCCAAGTATGGTGTATAACATTAGAACCAAGGACATTATTTGGGTCTGAGCTAAAATCAAGCTAAAATGGTTTGATAATGGGTAGCTCTGAGGCAGAGATGGATTAAAATCAGGGCCAGTTATCCAGATCCCCTGCACTTGAGCAGCTTAGATATAACGAGTCTCAGATCTGAACCGCCTCTGGTTTTAGTTTTGCAAAACAAAACCTGACAGGTGAGGATTTTCAGAAGCCAAAAGCACTCCTCGATTTTTGCCCATCTCCAAGATAAATAAACAGCGTTTCAGTCTGTCATTCATTCAGGCTTGCTACCTGTACACATTAATTATGACTAATGTGCCACATGGATGCTTCCATGTTCCCCTTGCAGTCCCTACATAGAGCTTTCAGTCATTAATGTTTTGCCTGTAGTATACATATAAGAGACATTTTG